TTTGCCACATTCGCGGCCGAAAGTTGTAAGGTGCGGGGTTATGGTGCAAAACTGCTCCAGTGGTACTCCCTTTTCACAGTGACTCCGCCTTCAGATTCCGTCTTCTGAGACCGCCTTCCAGCCAAAAGCGATGTTACCGGATAAGTAGCATGAAGTGTATGCTGCATTGTCTCTAAAGGGGTCATAGTCACTAGCAGGCAGGAAAGCGAGCGTTTTCGCAGACCATTTACCGTGTATTGTTTGAGGCCGAAGGAGTCAGACTAAGGGTGTTTCCAACGTTCTCTTTGGCATTTTCTCTTCACGGATGAATCACTCGGCAACTTCCCTTTCACATTTCACCGCCGACACCTACGCACCTTGTCGCGAGCCGTGCCTTTAAAGGAAAATTCCGCGATCATTCGCCATCACAGATAATGGGTTAGGGGTTTACATAGATGACAAGGTGCTGAGTAACTCGCTAGTGAAGAAAAATGCAGGGAAAAACATACCAATCGCCCTAGATAGATCTGTTTGTACGCGCTCAGTTAATTCAATCTTAACACTACGCATCATGCTCACACAGCTGATTCGCCCAATAAGAACTCTACGAACCGGCCATCGTTTTTCCCCGAAAGCGGACTTTGAAGGGCGAGTCCTGGTGGCGGAGTCAGTGGAGAAAAGGAGTCGGCACTGAACCTACATTGCGTATAGCGCCCCCCCCCCTACAATTTTTTGCCACGAAACCGATACAGGTTGATGGTCGCCGGACACACAACACCGTCCGGAGGGGGGACGCATGTTTGCCACGTTTGCCTACGTTGTTGGGAGGTAGGGAACTTACCAATCCCTTGACCAGGTCGCGACGGAACTTTGTCAAAAATCCCCAATCACTACGTGGCTGTTTGAAGAGGCGTGGTATGTTATGACGCGTAGGCGACAAAGAAATCGCGCCAAACGGCATACACCCCAAGAACAGGTCGCAAACATTCCGTCTCAAAGGACTCGTACTCAAGCTACGGGTGACTGGAGCACATTAACTACTGACACAAGATATCGTACTTCATGACAGGCAGAAGCAGAAGCCTTATATTCCCTAACGAGTTGTGCTGAATTTTCAAGTTTCCAAAACTGGCTCCAGATCGTCGCACCCATGCCAGTAATGTACTACCTATAACCATATCACCACACGTTTGACTGAAATGTCTGAGAAAAGCCGGGTCCGTTCAAGCTCAAGAAAGACGACAGGCTGCCGTCAAGTATTGATCGTGAAAGTAGAACGATATCATTTTGTAGGCTTTTGAAAAGTCGTGCACGGGTTCAATATTGTCAACAATTCCACAACTAAGAGCTGTCGGATCGAGAGTACACTCCATATCCCAGTGATGAGGAAAGCGTGGGTGTGTACTTACTTGAACGTGCTGGCAGTTTGTGGGATACTGGTGTTTTGGTACATTGCAATCGTGTGCTTACTAGCACAAGACAGGATATATCCCACGAGATCTGCATCTTACGCCGCACTCAAGAGGAATACGCAGTCACGCCCTTCCCATCTCCGAGATACTCACTCTGGCTGCTTGGAAGAGGATATTGCTGGCGATTACTGCGATGATGCTCTTGTGGACGTAGACATCCTCTTTCGGCATAACGACTTTCGACAAAAGAAATGTTTCTGTATTATTAATTCGAGAACGCTATAACGGCGCCGTCACGATAATTAGCCTCTTATTTAGTCTGCTGAGTGCAGCACAGTAAGTAATCGGGTATGGACTGATGACCATATTGGTCAGCAGATAGGCGCGAATCCATAATTTCCCCTAAGTTTTGGTTGGCCTACGTTGTGCTCTAACCATCTTAAAGCCATATGAAAAACAAGGCGATTTTAAAATGTCGGTGACATAGCCGTGAGTACCTTCATGATAGTACCACAAAGAAGTTCCACTTTATTTGAATTCTCCAGGGCGAAGCGAGACCAGGAGAACTCAAATAAAGTGGAACTAGTCCTTTTGAAAGACTGAGTTTATTGAGTTGTGCTAGTACAACGAACGTGGTTGTAGGCAGTGGGTTCTAGCATTTCAGCAGTAAGCATGGAATGTGCGGTGACTCACTACTTACCTGACTCCTCTATAGAAGCGAAATCGTGGACCGCGCATGGCGACAGGAAACACTGCAATCACTTATCAGCTTGCCTTCTCTTGTTCAAAGAATTGCCGCGTATGACCTGTAACAGGTACATTTCAGCTGGGGAGGAACGGGTGTATTGAACCGTGCGTGAGGGCGTCGTTCGGCGTTTGCGGCCGAATCACCCGCACTTGGTCGAGCTGCTGGGGCTCAATCCGACGATGACACCTGGAGATTTGCTAGGGCCTTCCCATGGCTCCGGGATGTGTCCGAGAAGTGTTGCGGAAGTGCGGGTTATCATCGCGGTTCAAGTGCTGCGACATTTTTTTCCAGTCAGAGTAGGTGGGCGGTGCGGCTGATTCCGCTGTATCACCACAAAGTGCTTTTCGCAGGTGTGGGTTTTCTGTTGTTGATGGCATCCGCCTACGCGCTCGTGGTTTGTCTACGGCACGAGGAGCGACAGTCAGTTTCAAGGAGTGGTGTCAATCGGAACACCAATTTGAGAACGGATTCGACAGAGTCGGTGCCAGAAAAGCCACAAGAACGCCGACATACTTCTAAAAGTACACAGGCCTTTGCGAAAAAACTGTATCCTCTCAGAAATATGATTCTCCCTATACATTTACAATAAAGAGCGTACGTCATGAGTTTCCCGAAAGCGGCCCACTGAAGCGCGTGAATAGCTGAATAGCTGTCGCACCTTACGGTGATTACCTCTGAGACAGAGGATCAGCGGGCTATTGCCATAACATGAATAGCAGCTTTGTCAGCTTTTTTTCTGTTAATAATCTGCTGCAGCTTCCTCTTTCAAGAAAATCCATCAGCAACTGACCTAAAGGTAACCAGTGGAAAAAAACACCGGAAAACTAGGAATGGATGGCTATCTCAGAACAGTGCTCTCGATCTGCGAGACTTCCAACATCGAAGGCAAGCTCAAGATTAACGTCGGCTAGCGTCTAGGACATCATCTTCACCGCAGTCGCCAAGGCGCTGGTTGATGGTATGGACCGGACGCACCTGGAATGGAAAGACCGATATTTTCTCCGTGGACCCCGGACTGAAGGTGAGCGCTGGCGGTTACATCGAGCAACTCGAGGAGAATATCCTCCCTTATGTCGTCACCCGTAAACTGTCTTGGAAATTGTACTGATACACGATTGGGTGACACCACATGGAATCGAAGGGCGTTGGAGTTGCAAAAACTCTCGCCTGCTTGGAATGGAAAGGCGTTGAGTACTGTGTAGAAGATGGAATATCTAATTGTGTCACCTGATCTGAACCCCCTCAATGACCTGGTTCGTGCGGAGTTCAATAGGGTGGTCTACAGTGGCGGAGAAATCAATTATCTCGCTGATCTGGCAAGCACCGCAATCGCGAATGCGTACCAGAATCTCTCGATGGTGCTGGTCAAGAAGGCTGTGGCGGAGTATCATGATACTATAGTATGCAATATGCTCTTAAAATATGGTGGTGGAAATGTCCGATTAGAGTTTACTAAAGTGTAACTTATGACGCCTCGAAAGTCGAGGAAGAAAAGTGTCTTTTTCTACCCCCCCCCCCCGTACATAGCAAGAAATTCATCGGAAGCGCTGAGAAAGCACAGAAAGGTTTGGAATTGAATAACCATTAGACACTATTTCACGCCTGCTACTCCAAGTAGTCACAGAAAATTTTCACTGAAATTTGCTGCAGATGTTATTGGTATCCCACTTACGAGTGAAACGTTCATTTTTGACGCCGGCGCCAATAGGCGCTACCACCTTTCACCAAATCGGAGAAAACTTGCATACGGTGTTTATTTGACATCCGGATATAGCAGCAACATTTTCACGAAGCGGAACGAACGTTTTGCGAATCGAACTGAAAAAGTAAGTAGATACAAGTTTTTAAGCTCGAAGCGGATACTATCCCCTACAGGAAAACCTTTCACTCTGCCGAAAAGTTATTTTGTCACCAATTAGAATTAACTCATCAGAAAGAATCGTAAAGAAGGGAAAAGAGCGCCATTCAGCCGCCTATCAAGGGTGAAAACAGCTAATCCTACTGTGATTAATTGCTGATCGGTGCGGTCATTTGTGATGTGTCGTTACTGGAGGGAGTAGTGGTATGTTAAGCCTTGCTCGATATGTTTAGAGAGCGCTTTTCGTTGGAAAAGACATCATGTAAGGCTTTCTCAGGGGCGCAGAATTCCTTGGTGATCGGCGTGTTCGTATTACATGCCAAGGGGATTTATCGTGTCTTTCGGCTTTAAACAGTGGAGCGAGTTCTCTCCCATATCAGGTACGACCCAGTCTGATGCGCTTAACAGCCAATTCAGCTTGATATGAAACTGCTAACATCACCAACAACTAATCAACAAACGAGAAACGTTGAACTGTTCACGGGGTAAACATCAGCCAAATCATAAAACACTCGAACAAAAGAACTTTTATTCACAGTAGAAAGTAATACACACGTCTTCAGTTCTGCATGTAAAGCCATAATGTAAATACACGAACCAAAGTGCTCTGTGAGTTGTTAACCCTGTGACAGCTAAGAAACTAAAGAAGATGACAGAATGATAGTGAGGAAGACTGCAAAACACCCATATAAAATCTTTTAAGCAAAAGCAAGAATTTGCAATAAGATGGATATCCATTGTCATCACTGATCACTCTCATATTCCGTCTTCCGATTGCCGGTCTGTTGCGAAGTTGCACAAGGCCAGCGTCAGCATGGACCAACTACATCTTAAACTTCAGAAAGCAGAAATAACCTGAAAACGACTTTGAGCCTTATCATGCTCAATGCCTCGCGTATTCTGAAAATGCAAGACCATTGGCTCTCACGTTGCACTCACACGGCCTTCGGAGGCAGCGCGAGCGCATCTACGGTTGTCGCGAGCTGGGGGGGCACGGAGTCTATCATGTGTACCGTTCGTGAACAAGAGCCGAAATGGCTCGCGCTGCCTCCGAAGGCGTTGCGAACGTACGGTCTTTGATTTGAATGCAGGCTTGAGCTAGACGCTCAAAGTCGTTTTTCAGTCTATTTTCTGGCTCTGAAGTCAGATGTTAGTGTCAGTCTTTTACTGCTGCTTCGTAAGCTTTCGCACAGACCGTAGCAATCCTTGAAATCCCGGCCTTGAGAAGAGGCAGCATTATGTATACACCACAGAGTGTTCCGCTTCCTCCTCGGCTACTTTCTAACCGGGTCCCTCTTTTTCTTGATAACATAGAGCCTTGATATGCAGCTGTGGCTAGATCGCATCCGTGATTCTGCCAACAACTTGCGAATCCGACTTCATCAAACGCTTTAGCTATTTTCCTCGTTATGCCGAATTTTCCAGTGCCATATATTATGCACGAGATGGCATATTTGAGTCTTGGGATCACAACTTGGTTATACCCATTGATCTTCTGGCGAAACGCAAGATCGTGAGCATAATCCTTTTTGCTGCAGCTAAAGCCTTCCCTACTGTACGTCCCATAAATGTTCCACAGTTAACTCGAAAAAAAGCCGTTTGCTCCGGTTTCCAGGAATCGCGAATAGAGCGAACTGGAACCTAGAACTGGTATATCTTCCATCCCAGGTGAGCTTATTCCTAGCTGAGGTTGGTTCAGTGAATTCACAGCACATTTTCTGGGATTCATCCGTAGTCCTAACGCTCCAGCTCTCTCTCTCTCTCTATGCCTTCCTTGGCTTTTACTATATCATCCCAGTTAGGTGGGTAAACCTTTAGATCGTCCATATAGAAAGGATGGTTGATCTCTAGTGGTCCTTCTAGCAATGTCATCATCCCAGTTGATGTCCTGTACGGGCTGAAGTGTTCTCGCAGCCACGCCGAGGGGTGATTGCCATGCAGAATAAGAGCTGGCTGAGTGTGTCCCCCTACATCACGCCTTTTCTGACCTCTAGCGATTCACATTTGACCATTTTGCCGTTATGGGTCCCACAGTATTGAACGCTTTGCTTGAACATTATAGCCGAAGGCAACTTCCTTGTGGGCTATGGTGCTCCGGCTTCGCCCAAGATCCACTTAGTTGCGCTACGGGACACAGAGTCAAAGGCTTTGGTCATATCTACTATAAAGTATGCAGCATGTTGTTGCGCCTTAAGGCGTCCTCTCATATCGTCTGATCCATATGCGCATGAGTGCAGCCCCAGATCCCTTTGCGCAAGGCTACTTGCTCTGAGTGAAGCACATCGCCTGCGCTCTGCAGTATCTGCTTCGCAATCATGACAGTTGGAATTTTATATCATGTATTCAAACATGCTATCGGGCGGAAGTCTCCAGGCTCGCGGGTCTCAAAGTTCCTTTTGGGATCAGTGCGATTTTTCCCTCTGGGCGTACACAGTGCTTCTTGGCACTATGCCACCAGCCTTTTTCTGGCCTCTGGTATCTTTTTCCACCAGAAGCCTTGCATGCCATCTGGCCATGTCGCTTTTCAAGGTTTCATCTTGGCAAATATACTCGTCTAAAGTCTCCTCAGACAGGACCACGTTA